ATATTTATATTTATATATATATATATATTGAAGGCTTATATTTGGTGATATTTAACTTTAAAGAAATGTATTTCATGTTTTATTGTAAGTATACTAAGTCTAGTCATTTAGAGCTTAAAGGAAGGAAAAATGATAAAATTTGGAGTCAAAATGTAGCGTTTTCAAAAATTGAACTTGTGCCTACGCACAAGAATCTAGAGAAGATGATGCCTAAGCACCAAATTTCAACGTCAAGCTGCTAGAGATGGTTATTTTCCAAAATGCATTTAGTTTGGACAAATTTTGAAGGGGAGCCAAGAGTGACTCTTAGGAAATTCGTTCATACATTTTAAAAGAGTATTTTTTATGCTAGAAAAGTGTGTGGCGTGCTTATCTTGTGTGTGGGAGAGTTTAGAGAGTTTTTTCTAAGAGTTATAGGAGGAGAGAAAAAGTGAGAGATTTCTTTTTCATTACATTTCTAAGAGAGAATTGAGTGTTATTGTAAATAGAAAGTGATTCAAACGAACTTTAAGGGATTTTCTTAGGGAGGAGATCGAGTTAACTTGTTTAACTTTTTTTTTTTTTTGTAAACTAGTTTTTATATATAAAATTCATGTTTTGTTGTATCTTCCTCATGAATTCTGAGTAGATTTCTTTGTCCTTCTCCCTACAAAGAGATATAGTCATGTGAAGAATCAACATTGTTATGCAATATTTTAATTTCATAATTGTGATGATTCAAAATTTGAAATTTATTTATTTTTTTAATTTGGCCAATTGAATTATTAAAATTTATTGTATGAAACATGAAACATACAATCTGAGAGGGCTATGCTTTCTACAACAAAGTTAGAATCACATTTGATTTCATGAATGGGAATGTAGTCTATGGGGTTGAGTGCAAATAAATAGAGAAATATTCATTGATGAGCATAGAATTGGAGATTTTAGGATGACAGACTAAAATCCCAATTTGGTCCATGCATTTGGAAACTAATGTAGGATGTTAGCCCTCAGGCGAGGGGAACATGGAAACTCTAGAGTGAGAGACATTATTTTCCTAACATAACTATGAATTTAAGGACCAAGTATTAGATTAGCCAATATTCTTTGTAGCTTACAAAAAGGATAAAGAGTATAATTGCTCCTATTTGACACAATACAATTTTCTACAATTTGATAATTCATTGACTATAACCTCATTGTAAGGGGAAGGATAAATTCTTAAATTTGAACTCTTTGTCACAAAACTTAGTTTAGTTTTAGTAAATTTAACTTTGAAGTTTCGAGATTAATGTAGTAAACATATTTTCTTTAGCGGCATCAAACAAATTTTGACCTACTTACTTACTTAAGTTTTCTATTGTTTAAATATTGTGTCTTTGGGTTATTACCATAGGAACTTTCACATCCCAATGGGATCGATACTTAGGACTCCATTATATCCCTTTATTACTTGAGCGATATGTATACTTGCATTTGTAATCTAGTGACGATTTGAAATTGAAAGTACACCATAATTTACTAGGAGTGGCAGCTTTGAATATTTTAAAAGAGAAAACAGATTATATTGAAGTAACTTTTGTTGTGATTAATCTACATATTTCATAGTCTAGCTGCCTTGTGTGTTGTGGTGTTCAAAAAAATTTATAGCACATACAAATCGCTCACATCAAGTTCTTGGCGTCGTTGTGAGAGAGGTTGCAGTAAATTACTTAAAAGATTTTATTTGAACCATAAAACTTATTTTAAGAATATATATATATATATATATTTGGGATAATTACATAGAAATCACGGAAAAGATTGATATTTACAAATCAATCGGAAATTTGAAAGTATAAATTAAATTATTTCAAGGGTTATTCAGCTCCCGACATGTTAATCACATAGATTGGGTACAAAAAATGGGGTTGGGAGAGGATCCCCCTCTAAAAAAAAACATACAATATACGCACTCAAATGGTGGTTCCTCAGCCAAATTACAACTCCACGCAAAAATACCCAAAGAAAAATGTGAAATACAAAAGAAATCATATATCTATTACACCCAAAAATAAAACTATGTATATGTACCAAAAAATTCCAAACCGAGCTAGCTTTCATGTAACCGAGAGCCGTCTTGATCTGAAAGGCAAAAAAAGGAACATAGTTTTGTATATGTAGCTTTTGAAGAGAAAAGGAAACAACTGAGCCAGCAAGAGTAAAAAACAACCATCCTGCTGCCGAATAATGTAGACAACAGTCCCGAAGATAATGAGCTTCAAAATACTGGCACCGTGCAGGCATACTCAAAAGGAACCGAAGTATGGGGGGTCCTCCCAGTAACACAACAACAAGGAAGTGAAGAAAAAATTTTAGAGAGCAGAAATAAAAACCGCAATCCATATCGCTTAAGTCAGTAATATATAAATATGTTATTCTGCAAAAAAAAATCAGTGTGAAGTGTAGCAAAATTCTCCCATAAAGCAAACCAATAAAAAACGCCATTGTTAATCGAGAAACATAGAGATAGGGCAAAGATATGCATCACCAAGA